TTTATCACACGATTACCATTTACAATTTTGATTGGCTAAACTAAACATGCATGATCGGGATCATCATTTCTTTATTTGGGACGGTCCTACCTGTAGCAATGGCCCCATATATATACTTTTTTTTTTAAAACTCTTTTTTTTAACCTTTGCTTGTTTTAAGTGGTTTGTTTAGCCAGTGCTTGGATTTTGCTTAGGCTTTGAGTGGTGCACGTTGGTTATGGTCTGAACCAGTATTGGTGTTGGATATATGTCTAATTTTTTATGCTATTGACTGAACTGAATATTGGATATAATGCTTGGATATATGTTTGGTTTAATATGTCCAATAGTTTCAAAACATTGATAGTTACTATATAGTAAATTCAAAATTTATTGAGAAAATCGACATTAGGTCTTTAAGTAGGAGGTTAAAATATATATATTCCGAAAGTTTTTTATAAATTGGAGAACTTTATTAATTTTTTATTTCTTATGAACAAAATTTTAAATTATAAAACGTAAAAAATGATAAATTGATAAAAGTTATCCAATTTATATAAAACTTTTAATATATGTATTTTGATTTTTCTAACAATTTTACTTAAGAACTAAATGTTAATTTCTTGAGTAAAATTTTAACTTTATAGTAAATATTAACGCAAAAATACTATTCTTGATGGATTATCGGTACTGTTTTTGATAGGTAGCAAAAAAAATAATTCACATTCCGTTCTTGATAGAGTTCTAAAAAAGAACCTTTAAAATACTATACTACTATAGTGAAAAACAATTAGGATTAGGGTTCGTTTTTAGAACCCTATCAAGAACAGTACCCAAATAATTTTTTTTATTAACTCAGTATTGCCGATCCATCAAGAATAGTATTTTTTCATATTAACGTTTCAAAATAAAATTTTTTAAAATATTGTTACTATATTTTGATTTTTAGTACTTTCTGGTCCAATGGACAAGGGCGGTCCAATGTTCAGTTCAATATCCAGGTCCAACACTGGTTTGAACGTTTATGGCACACGTTTGGTTTGAAAAGGGTTTAAAAGACCTTTTCTTCTTTTTTTTTTCTTTCTTGCATTGCATGTTTAAACTTTAATATAACTTGACTCATGCCATTGTTTTTACGTAGGGTCCTAACCAAAGGATATATCTCTGCGTGGCGGTCATGAGAGTAAGCTTGTTAGCTGAAACTAAATATTTTAGTCTTATTAATAAATTTTAATATGTTTGTTATTTTTACTAAGCTAATGTAATATGTGATTATTTAATAAAGATTTTAAATTATTCGCTTCCGACTTTTACCTTTTTCTTAAAAAAAAAAAAAAAAGAAGTCTAATTTGATTATCATCGGTCAGAATTTATATTACTGTATTAATAAAGGTATTATCGATATAACGATAAAGTTCTATTATAAATAACCAATGAAATTACTGTATAACGTACTTGATTGATTTTAAAATAGGCTTAGTTTAACTGTTAATAACATTAATGGCAAACGTAGCTAAGAGATTATTGTTAAATAGAGATATTTTACCCACCGTCCGTGACGCACAATCACCCAAGAAGAATTTATATAAATTGCTAAATGTTTATCCAAACTATGGTGTTGGTCTGAAAGTGGTAATAAATCGACTTTACTTATCGAACATGCAAGTTAAAAAGGCTTTCTAAAAACAAAAAAATTATTAATAAAGGCGCCAGATCATTGGGTTAACAAAGGAATCACTAACAGCTATTATGAAATTACGAAAGTATCACTAAAAATGAAGGTAGCTTTATGATTATTTTACCAGTTTTTACGTTTTTTAAGCAGCTGTTTTTTTTGTTTTTTTTTTTTTAATAATAGGATATAGCACATGGAAAGGCATTCGGTATTAAGGTCTGGGATGGTACGTAAGTCAAACGAAAGAATATTTCATCTATTTTATTACTAATTACCGTGTTTATATCAGGTAAAGTATTAAATGACGGCAAACCGGAGAAAGTCCGAGGAGGATACAAATGGAATTGGATGCTATGGCCGATTAGACAGTATCATTAGCATTTTCAAAATAGTACGGTATATAACAAGTTTTTTCTGTACGAGTATGCTTGATAAACTAATTTGAAAACATAATCTTATGCCAATGTATGCCAATGTACAATCTACCTTGATAATATCAATATTTTCCATTAGAACTAAAATCACCGCTAAAGCGGAGTAAATTCGATATGTCACCCTGCTTTAGCGATCCTCATATATCAATCAAAGATGTCTGATTTTGTGAGGTTGATATTTGTTATACATAATTGTCAAATGTTTAAATGATGCTTTTATTGGATGTTACATAAATAGTCCCTTTATATCGTCTTTGAATTAAACTAGTCTCTTAATCAACCAAATTTCGATTCTAATATATTATACCCAAAATTTCTATGAATCAGTTGAAGTATCATTGACCTCATTAATTTCATTAGTTTCATCAGTTTCATTAGTTTCATTAGTTTCATTAGTTTCATTGGTTTCATTAGTTTCATAAGGAACATTTGGATCAGCGGATTTGAGTGCGTATTTTTGTAACCACGCGTCCTCAGACCATACTAACAATCGATAACCGAAAATTTTAAAGTCTTCATTCGAGGAAAAAATAAAAAAAAAAAAAAAAAACTTACCAGCACGCATACTTCCTTCTTTAACTCTCATGGGCCTGGCCAAATTAACCTTAATAACCTTACCGTAAAGTTCCGATAAATTCATATTATCGATTGCAGCTTGAGCGTCACCAGCTTCTTCGAATTCTATAAAACCAAAGCCACGATGCTGATTGTCTTTTGTGAACACATCAAAGTTTAATTACAAAACTTTGTGTAATACTTTAAAGGACATTATTCGTTCAAAACGTTTAAAGCTCACGAGAAGCAGGATCCGGTGGTATTTGAATTTCAACAATATCTCCAAATGGAATAAATGCTGCGTGTAGGATTTGCTCGTTAACTTGATCATCAAGACCTCCTGCGAGTAAAGAAGTGAAATACATTTTCGAAATCGTTCCGTCTTCTTATGTTCTTAAACTAATATCTTTCACATTTCGTACCAACATATATAGTCGTCTTACTAGTGTTGTCTTTGACAAGTGTCGCCATTATTAAACCTAATCAATTATTATGTGAATTCATTATCATTATTATATTGTCTGTGTTACGTTCTCACATGATTAATATGCATTTATATAAATAGTCCTGCTTTTTTTTTTTTTAAAGCTAACTATTCAACTTTTCGAATACTTTATGAAATGGCCGCTGAAAAGAAGATCGAGACTGAGGAAGTAGTCAATTCAAAACCTGGTGTAACAGGTGATGAACTTAATCAGAAGTCTTTAAAAAAACCACACGTTAAAAATAAGCGTAGGAAAAAAAAGAAAAACGATTCACAAGTAATCGGAGTCACGAGTGAAGATAAAAGCGTGTCAAACAACAATGAGAATGGAAAGGTGTGTACAAATGTACATTGTCTTTCCTATGTTTATTTTAACGTCTAAAAAAAAACGTCTTATGTAATTTTTATGTTCTTTTAACGAATTCTTCACGCTGGGTCAATACCTAATTTTTATCAATTCAAGTCTCAAGAAGCTGATGATTCAGAAAATGTGGAAATTGAGTACGTATTACAACCTCTGGATGTAACTAACGATCCTTACTATGAAGAATTCTCAAAGGTTTTTGCCCATTTTCAGATTACCAAAGACGAAACTGAGGTATCGTTTATCTCGGTCATTAAGATTCTCATATAACAGAACTAAAAATTTATATTTAATTTTTGTGGTTATAAATTTATGAAAGAGCACATTCACTAAATTCTATGGATTATTGATGGATAGGTAAAATCCGAAATTAAGGAAGAAAAGAATGAAGCTTTAAAGACTCAGAATGAATCTAGAATGAAAGATTCCGATGACGATACTGAAAACGAGTCTGAAGATGAGGAGAGACAAGACAAAGTATCAAAAAAGAAGCTAAAAAAAATGAACAGATTAAGTGTCGCTCAGTTAAAACAATTGGTTAAGAGACCAGAAGTTGTTGAGGTAATTTATTACCGATTTTTCTCCTTCTATGTTGTGTACATTGTCAATATAATAATTAACATTAACTTATAAAAAAGTGGGTTGACGTAACGGCCGCGGACCCAAAGCTTCTAGTCAGTCTCAAAGCTTATAGGAATACAGTACCCGTTCCTCAGCATTGGTCTCAAAAAAGAAAATATCTTCAAGGGAAGAGAGGAATTGAGAAACCAGCTTTCGATCTACCTGGTACTCTATTTTCAAGATACATTAACTTCTTTTATATATAGGTTTATGTCTAACTCTTATGTTTAAAAAAATTTGTGCAGATTTTATCAAAGATACTGGTATTATGGAAATGCGTGAAGCGGTTAAGGAGAAGGAAGATGCTGCAAAATTGAAACAAAAAACTCGTGAACGTGTCCAACCAAAAATGGGCAAATTAGACATTGATTATCAAAAATTACACGATGCATTTTTCAGATTTCAATCAAAACCTAAATTGACAATTCATGGAGAACTGTAAGTCATTTAAATTTGATTTTTAATTAACTTATTGATTTCCATTGATACATGTATTATGTCTAATTTATTTATTATTATGTTACAAGGTACTACGAAGGAAAAGAATTCGAGACTAAACTTAAAGAAAAAAAACCGGGTCAACTTTCAGAAGAACTGAAAGCTGCCTTGAATATGCCTCCTCTTGCTCCTCCTCCATGGCTAATAGCGATGCAGAGATATGGTCCACCACCTAGTTATCCTAATCTAAAAATTCCAGGATTGAACGCTCCTATTCCGGAAGGGTAAGTATTTAAATATTTGTAATCATATTGTATAATATACATTGATTTAAAATTCATAATTCACAATTTTTTTAATACAATATTAGTGCCCAATGGGGATTTCATCCTGGTGGATGGGGAAAACCTCCGGTAGATGAGGTAAATGTTTTTATAATTTTGACTGAATGATGAACTGATCATATGAAGATTTAACGTATAGTTGTGTATTAATAGTACAATCGTCCACTGTATGGCGATGTTTTTGGAACATATCAACAAGAAATCCCCTCAGATGTGAGTTCTTTCTTTTAACCCTTATGGTTCGTTTATTATTGCATATATAGATATATTTATAATTTAAAATTCAAAACCATAGATTGTACAGCCCATTGAGCGGTCATTATGGGGTGAATTAGAGGCAGAAGAAGGAGGTAAGCGACAAATTATTTGACGGATCAGGTACAATTAATTCGTAAATCGCAATTTAATTGATTCGTATAAACAAATAAACATTAGAATCAGATGAAGAAGAGGAAGCTGAAGAGGAAGAAGAAGTTGGAGAGGATGAAAGTGCTTCAACAAAAGCATTACAAGAAGGTCTTGCCACGCCAAGTGGAATATCCAGTGTGCCAAGTGGTTTGGAAACACCAGAGTATATAGAATTAAGAAAATACCAAGCTAGCACAGCAACACAACAGTCTTCTATATTGCCTAGCGGATTGGAAACACCAGATATTATTGAGTTAAGGAAATATTCAAAGTATGATTCTAGTTTTATTAATACTAAACTTGAATTTTCAAGTGATTGATTTTATGTTGTGGTTAATTGATTGTGTGATATTTGACATTAAATTAGACCTGATGAAGATGAACCAAAGCCTTTATACACCGTACTTCCACAAAAGGATACGTCTATTTCAGGCTTTATGGGGTCACAACACGCTTACGATTTATCTGCCGCTTCAACAACTGGAGGTGTTAAAGGCGCAAAGGTAACAGAATTTTATATAAATATTTAATATAAATTTTTTAATGTATAAATTAATTTAATCTTCCATCGTTTTATATATTTTATAGCGAAAAGTTGTTGGAACCGGTATCGATGTAGCACTCGATCCTTCAGAGATGGCAAATCTAGATGAAGAAACATTAAGGGCCATATTTGAAGAAGCTCAGCAGGTTTAGATCATTTTAAATTTATATTTGCATATTTTTCGTATGTACTAACATTCTGTGTTTTAGGCAAATCAACCTGAAGGTTCACGTGAAGACTTTTCAGATTTGGTTGCTGAACATGCTAGTAAGCAAGCAAAAAAGAGGCAAAAATTGGCAGATGCGAAGGCTGCTGCACGAGATGCAGGTTCTGGTGGGAGCTCATCATCTAAGAAATACAAAGATTTCAAATTTTAAACATTTATTTCTTTTGTTCAAGCTATATATTGGTAAGTCTTGAGTAAAATGATTAAAATCAAATAGAACTTTTTAGTTTAAAAATTGTTATTTAACGTTAGTTGATGCTGGCGATAATTGTGGGTCTCTTAAATATTTTTTTTTTTAGTTTGAATAAAGTATCAACAAAAAAGAAAAAAAAACTCAAAACTCAAAATCAGTGTTTATATACTACTTGTTACTAACTTTAATTTATTATCTAAAAGTCCGGGCTAGTCCTATTTTATACTTAAATGACGGTACACATTCTCGTTTAATTGATCGACACTGAAAATTTAATGTGGAAGATGAGTCAATATACTTTAATGTGGTAAAGTATTTATTTTTCCTAATTATATTTATTACACTGATGTAATCGCCGTCACTTATGATCATCGTTTCCATTGTATAAATAAAAATAATTTCACTTCTTAATCTCAAAATTTAGTAAAAACCATGTAGAATAGTAGTATATCATAAATTCGTTCCGGAAAGTTTATATTCATTAAGGTTGTTAATACTTCGATCGTGAACTTTAAATGGCAAGCTTTAACGTTTGTTTAACAATAATTATACCTTGATCATGATCTAGATTGTGATATATATTGGTGAATGTCAAAAGATATATTCGGGCGATAAGATCATGTGTTAAGGTCTATTTTAACTAGCCATGCCGTACATCTAATATGTATATACGTATGTCGTTTATATAAATATACGATTTATTACATCGTATCGGCCTTCAAGCTATAATATATGTAGACATTTCTCATAATACGAATTGTAGTAAAACTTTCCCATTAATTTACTAAATCGAATATTTTATCATTACATTTAATAATCAATTTTTTAAAGTTTTGTTAGCAGATTTGATTTTAATGCGTTCCCGTATTTCAATATAATTTTCTAAACCTATCGCTATATCTTGATAAAGTACGGAACAAGGTTGCAACGTCGGCCATTTAGGTCATATTTAACTTTATATGGCCAAGGTGGTCATAATGTAAGAGTAAATCTTTATATAAGTCGTGACACATCATAAGGTCATAACCTACAATTAGTTAATATATAGGTCACAACGGGGCACTGGCTATACGTATCCTCTCACGGAACGGACCGGAGGTTTGTAAGCCGGACTTGAGCCTAGTTCGAGCACAATTTTCGGAGCTGGGACAGCATCAAGTAATATTTATATATAGCGAAAGTTATCAACTACATAGAAATTTTACTTAATAATAGGCTATAGTATTCAGTAAAATTTTGAGATTTAACTTACATATGCTTGTGTCAAATCATTTAATATAAAATACTGTATTCCTCCGAAAATAAGCACTCACCGAAAATTAGGGCTGTTATCGGCTTGGATGGCTTGGCTTGGCTCCAGCTTGAGCTATGACCATTGGGACAGTGGCTTTAGCAGCTATGGCTCAAGCTGTAGTTTTAATAACTAGAAACGTGTATTAATCACATAATAATTATGTGTCATGGCTCAAGCCACAGCTCAAGCTATAACTCTAAGCTATAACTTGATTACGATTCACAATTGGCTTGGATCAGCTCAACTCTACTGAAAATAAGCATTCCTGGCCCACACTATGCCAACTTTGGCCCGCTTTACAACAATCACGGCCAGCATTACATGCAAGAAAAGGATGTTTATGTATACGTATCGATATGTAAGAATTATTTTTATTATAGTACTTAGTTCAAGTAATTAAGTGAAATTAATGTAATTTATGTAATAATTCGCTAAATTGGATTTTCATA